AGAAGCATTGAATAGGATTAATAACATATTAGGAAAAGTGATGTGATTCTCAGAATTGAATGTTCTTGAAAGTATTTAGATGTTTTAAGAGGCTAAATGAAGGAATGTTAGTATGGATAGTTAAAGAAGAGTTTAATAGAATTTTATGGTGTATATATAACGAAATTTAACCCCATTTGGGTGATAATCGGGTTGAAAACTGGAAATTCTAGGCACGTGTATCGATACTGATATAACAGTATCGATACTATAGGATAAAATGGGATGAATATGCTAAGTAGCATCGATACTGATTCAGTAGGTATGGATACCTAAGTGGGAGTATCGATACCGAAGGGAAGGTATCGATACCATTTCAAAACAGAATGCAAAATCGGTATCGATACCATAGCATAGTATCGGTACCATAGTATGGTAGTATCGATACCATGGTATGGGTATCGATACTGAAGTGCCAGAAATTATAAGATAGGCTAATAAAGTTGTAGAAAAGTTAATAATAAGTTCTTTTGAGTAATATTTAAGTGTAATTTTTAGGAAATATACTAACAATTGATATTGTACATGTATTTAATAGATGCTTGGGTAGATCGAAATCAAAATCCTGAAACAAGCAAAACGAAGGGCAAAGGCAAAGTACCTGAGTAAGTAGCTTTGCATTTTGGATTCAGTAGCAAAGATAGCCAGGTGAGTGCATTTAATTGTGTAACTATATGATTAATCATATATGTATGACTATTTAAAAATGTATGTGGTGATTACCAAATAAGCACTAAGTGTGCATTTCACGAAATTCATCCTATGTGGATGAATAACCGTTTCGGCACTAAGTGTGCATTTTACGGAATTCATCCTATGTGGATGAATAACCGTTTCGGCACTAAGTGTGCATTTCATGGAATTCATCCTATGTGGATGAATAACCGTTTCGGTATTAAGTGTGCATTTCATGGAATTCATTCTATGTGGATGAATAATTGTTTCGGCTCTAAGTGTGCATTTCACGGAATTCATTCTATGTGGATGAATAACCGTTTCGACACTATGTGTGCAAAACACAAAATTCATAATTTGTTTATGAATGACCGTATGGGCACTACGGGTGCATTACAAAGAAATGATAATGAATAGAAATAATGAATTAATATTTGATCGATAAAGAATAATGACATATATATATTGATTCCATTGTATGATTAGTTTTTGTCTCACTAAGTAATACTCAACGTGTGTTTATTTCATGTGTAGGTTGAATACAAGCTGTGTAAGGAGATCATTGGACATCCAAGTCAGAGTTACCTCATCAGTAAATTTATGACATATATGTCTACTTTTGATATATTTTAGTTGGCATGTAATAAGGTTCAGTAAAAATGCTCTAAATAGTATTGGGTTTAAACTGTTGTAAAATGGTGTAGTATTTGAACATCTCATTTTGTTCGTCAAATTAAGTTAATGTATGTTATATTATAAGTGAATTAAATGTTTTATAAAATGAAACAAAATTTTATGGGTTTTCGAATGAGAAACCGTAATAATAGTGATGTGACATATATATGTCGTATACGGAAGGGTATATAAGAGATGGGTGTTACATTTATTGGTATCAGAGCAACTGGTTTAGCCGATTCTTGGCCGAATCAAGTGTAATTTTGATGTAATAAGAGTTTGCATGCCACTGAGATGTCGAGGTCACTGATAAGGTATAGAATGAATATGATAAGATGTATCTCCTTACTAACTTAAGTATTATCTTTATGTATGTTGCAATAGATGTCAGATTCTACGAATTTGAGAAGAGCGGCTGAACGTGAGAGTAGAGATGGATCGGGTAGTGAAAGATATGAGGAAAATAATAAATATTCTATTCCGTCTGAGAATGCCATTACACCGGTACCTCAGGGTATGTATGTTCTCAAGTTTGGAGCTTTTATGCAAGCTCTCGACACTATCTTGACAAGGTTACAACCTCCTCCACCTCCCCCTGCTCTTCCAGTATCATGAATGTTAATTCTGAAGGAGTTAAGAAGTTTGAGAGCTCTTGAGTTTCGGGGATAAGAAAGTGAATATCCGATAGACGTAATTTTATGGTTAAACGATGTGATGATGATGTTGAAAAGTCTATAGTGCTCCGATCATGAAAAACTGGGTGGAGCTTTATTGTTACTCCGAGGATTAGCTCGGGTATGGTGGACAAACATGACAATATATGCGTCGCCCGAGCAAGTGAACTGACAGTTCTTCCAAGAGGAGTTCAAGAACAAGTATATCGGGGAGCAGTTTATGAGATCAATGTTGTTAAAGTTTCTTAGCTTGAAACAAGGTGATCGAGCCGTGCATCAGTATGAGGCCAAATATAACAAGCTCAGTCGTCATGCTACAGAGGTGGTCCCTAATGATAAAGCTTGTCGAGATTGGTTCATTGAGGGTTTGAGGCCTAAGTTAAAAGAGATGATGTTGGCATTAAACTTGCCTAGCTTACAAGAAGTTATAAACAAAGATAAGTCGATTAAGAGAGCTCAAGAGAAGGCTTTCGCAGCATAGCAGAGTGTGCAAACATGAAAAATGATTAGGATGTCTTCATCTACATCTCATGCTAAGAGAGGAAATGGCTCAGGTTCCCGATATACTGATAGAATGGATGTTGCTGCAGCTGCACAGAAGTCTAAGCAATCTCATTCTTTTGCTGTGAGCTCGGGTAAAGCTTTTGGAGAAAAAGGTAACCCATGTCAGACATGTGGCAAATTTCACCGGGGAGTATGTAGAGTTCTCTCTGGCGCTTGCTTTATTTGTAGAGGAACAGGTCATTATGCTAGGAGCTGTCCACAAAGATCTAGGGATAGATCAGTATAATCTAAGAGATCAGTAGCAGCACCTAATAGAAGCAGAGGAAGAGGAAGATCAAGTGGTCAATATGAGGCTAGCCAGAGACAAGAGACTCGGGGAGTGGCCCGATTATATAATATAAAGACCAGTGATGATCGGGATGATTTGGAGATCATAACATGTACCTTTCACTTTTTTGATAAGCATGTTTTTGTTCTAGTTGACCCTGGTTCTACGCACTCTTATATTAGTACAAAATTGGTTAGGACTAGAGGAATTCATTTAGAACCAATTTCTAGTGAAATGATAGCGGTGAATTCTATGGGTTGTAGAGTAAGGGTAGCTTGGGTGTGTAGAAAATGTCCAATTAAGATTCAAGGGGTTGTGTTTTTGGAAAACTTAATGAAATTGCCCTTTGATGAGTTTGAAATCATTTTGGGCATGGATTGATTGTCTCCACATCATGGATGGGTAGATTGTCGTCAGAAACGATTATTCCTAAAGGATACAGAAGGCTCCAAAATTGTGGTGATATGTGAGAATGTGAAATCCCTATCCAATGTGATATCGGCCATGACCGTAAAGAAAATGATGTCAAAAGGATGCGTAGCTTTTCTAGCTAATGTGATAGACACTAGAATGCCAGAAGTGAGATTACATGATATCCCCACAGTTAGGGATTTTCCAGAGGTTTTTCCGAAAGAGTTACCGGGTTTACCTCCAGATCGTGAAGTATAATTCATAATTGAGGTTTACCTGGGTACTGAACATATTTCCATGGCTCCGTATAGAATGGATCCAACGGATTTAAGGGAACTAAAAGCACAGTTGCAAGAGCTACTTGACAAAGGATTCATCCGACCCAGTGTTTCTCCTTGGGGCAAATCTATGTTATTCGTGAAAAATGACGGGTCTATGCGGTTATGTGTTGATTAACGTCAGTTAAATAAAGTAACAATAAAGAACAAATATCCTCTTCCGAGGATTGATGATATGTTTGATCAATTAAAAGGCGCATCAGTGTTCTCTAAGATAGATATGAGGTCGGGGTACCATCAGTTAAAGATCGAAAAATAAGATATTTCCAAGAGAGATTTTTGGACTCGGTACGGACACTATGAATTTATGGTAATGTCATTTGGATAACAAATGCCCTTGCAGTATTTATGGACTTAATGAACCGAGTGTTATAGCCGTACTTAGATCAATTCGTGGTAGTGTTTATAGATGATATCTTAGTATATTCCAAGTCAAGGGAAGAACATGATGCTCATCTTCGAGTGGTTCTTTAGATACTTCGTGATAAGAAGTTGTACTTGAAATTGTCCAAATGTAAATTTTGGTTATCTGAGATTGATTTCCTTGGTCACATAGTATCTGCAGAAGGCATAAAAGTGGATCCCAAAAAGATTCAAGCCATAATGGATTGGCAAACCCCAAGGAATGTTTCAAAAATTCAAAGCTTCTTGGGGCTCGATGGTTATTATAGGAGTTTTGTAAGAAATTTTTTTTGATGTTAACTCTTCCATTAACGAAGTGTTTATGAAGGAGGTGCCTTTTTTTTTGGACAGATGGATGCTAAGAAAGTTTTGAAATACTAAAAAGAATAGTAATTGAGGCTCCAGTGCTCGTGCAACTTGAGTCGGGTAAAGAATATGTTATTTACAGAGATGCATCCCATAATGGGTTGGGATGTGTGTTGATGCAAGAAGGGAAATTTGTGGCTTATGCCTCAAGGCAGTTGAAAAATCATGAGAGAAATTACCCGATGCATGACTTAGAATTGGCCGCAGTGGTTTTTCCTTTAAAAATCTAGCGACATTATCTGTACGGTGAGCATTGCCATATTTACACAGATCATAAAAGTCTAAAGTATTTGTTGACTCAGAAAGAGCTGAATTTAAGGCAGAGAAGATGGATTGAGCTCTTAAAAGATTATGATTTGGTTATTGACTATCATCCTGGAAAGGCTAATGTGGTAGAAGATGCGCTCAGTCGAAAGACTTTTGTGGCTTTAAGGGCTTTAAATGCACGTATTTCTTTAATGGAAGATGGTGCTTTGATTGCTGAATTAAAGTTAAGGCTGATGTTTTTGGATCGGGTTAAAGAGCTACAAGGTCGAGATTAGAAATGCTTAATGAGATTAGTACAAGTAGAAAAAAGAAAAGCCAAAGATTTCAAAACAAGGGATAATGGATGTTTATATCACCACGGAAGACTTTGCATTCCTAATGATGATGAATTGAGGAAATATATTCTTGGTGAGGCACATTAAAGCCCTTTGACGATGCACCCAGGTGGAAATAAGATGTATCAGGATTTGAAAAGTCGTTACTGGTGGCCTGACATGAAAAGAGTTGTCACAAAGTTTGTTGCCAAATGTTTGACATGTCGACAAGTGAAAGCTGAACATCAATTATCATCCGGGTTAATGCATCTATTCCTAAGTGGAAGTGGGAGTGAGTCACAATGGATTTTGTTTCAGGGCTATTGTTGTCACCGAGAAAAAATGACTCGATTTGGGTAATAGTAGACAGATTGACCAAGACGGCTCATTTTATTCTAGTTTGAGTACACTATTCAATGGATAAGTATATAGAGTTGTATATAAAAGAGATATTTAGACTGGACGGAGTACTCGATTGAACTTTAGTACAACTTTTCATCCGCAGACATATGGGCAGTCAGAGCGAGCTATTCAGATACTAGAGGATATGTTTAGAGTATGTGTGATTGAATTTAAGGGATCATGGGAAAGGTATTATCCTTTAGCAGAATTTGCGTATAACAATAGTTATCAATCAAGTATTAAGATGGCTTCATATGAAGCTCTATATGGGAGAAAATGCATAACACCATTAAATTGGTTTGAATTGAAAGACTGGGATTTGGTTGGCCCAGATTTAATGAAAGATATGGAGGATAAAGTGAAGATTATCCATATCAATCTAAACATAGCCACAAATCAACAAAAGTCCTATGCATATTTGAAATAAAAAGAAATAGAATATTAAGAAGGGGACAAAGTATTTTTGAAATTATCGTGTTAGAAGAAGGTATTATATTTTAGGCAAAAATGAAAGTTGAGTTCGAGGTTCATTTGACCGTATAAGATATTAAAAGGGGTTGGACCCATAGCTTATCAGTTAGCTTTACCTCCGGATATGGACAAGATCCAAAATGTTTTCCACGTATAGATGCTTAGAAGGTACAGATCAGACTCATCTCATGTTATCACTCCTGAAGAAATAGAGATCCGACCAGATTTGACTTATGAGGAAGAACCAATTCGGATTTTGGATAAGGAAGCCAAGGAATTGCGTAACAAGAGGATTCCGTTGGTTAAAGTGCTTTGGCAGAATCATAGGGTAGAAGAGGCTACCTGGGAAAAAGAGGAATATATGAAAAAATGGTTTCCATATCTCTTCGTTTTAGGTACTTTAAATTCGAGGATGAATTTACTTAAGGGGGAGAATTGTAATGCCCCAAATATCGAATTAGTGACTTTATTGAAATGATTTAAAAATATGAGGATTTATTCGATTAAATGATAGAAGATGAGAATGATTTGGATTAGTGGTTTAGACTAAATTGTAACAATGGATGGTTTAGAAGACATTTTGGTCCTTTACTAGAAAATGAATTTAAAATTATTATTTAATAAGGTATTAAAGCTAAGGGAAAAGGGGAAAGTAAATACCAAAAAACTATTTTTTTCTTCCTTCAAGTGGGTAAAGCCTCCTCCATAGCTCCAAAGGTAAGCTTCAATTGATTAGTTTTTCCTTTTGATTGTGGATTATTTTTACAACCTTAAGTGATATAGAAGCTTAAGGAATAATTAAATGAGATTAAAATTATGAAATGGAGGAAATATTGAATATTTTAGAAAATGAGTTTTGAAATGATATGTTAGTATATTAGTGTTTATTGATTTTTACTGGTAGATTTGACTTGTCAAATAGGTAAATGAAAGATTAGAAGAATTGGATAGGATTAAGAACATATTAGGAAAAATGGTGTGATTCTTATAATTGAATGTTCTTGAAAGTATTTAGATGTTTTAAGAGGTTAAATGAAGGAATGTTAGTATGGATAGTTAAAGAAGAGTTTAATAGCATTTTATGGTGTATATATAATGAAATTTAACCCCATTTGGGTAATAATCGGGTTAAAAACTGAAAATTCTAGGCACGTGTATCGGTATTGATAGAAGAGTACCGATACTATAGGCTAAAATGGGATGAATATACTAAGTAGTATCGATACTGATTCAATAGGTATCGATAACTAAGGGGGGTATCGATACCGAAGGGAAGGTATCGATACCATTTTAAAATAGAATGCAAAAATGGTATCGATACCATAGCATAGTATCGGTACCATAGTATGGTAGTATTGATACCATGGTATGCATATCGATACTGAAGAACCAAAAATTGTAAGATAGGCTAATAAAGATGTAGAAAAGTTAATAATAAGTTCTTTTGAGTAATGTTTATGTATAATTGTTAGAAAAATACTAACAATTGATATTGTACATGTATTTAATGGATTCTTGGGTAGATCGAAATCAAAATCCTGAAACAAACAAAATGAAGGGAAAAGACAAAGTACCTGAGTAAGCAGCTTTGCATTTTGTATTCAGTAGTGAAGATAGTCAGGTGAGTGCATTTAATTGTGTAACTATATGATGTCCTAGTCATATATGTATGACTGTTTAAAAATGAATGTGGTGATTACCAAATAGGCACTAAGTGTGCATTTATCGGAATCCATCCTATGTGGATGAATAACCGTTTTGGAACTAAGTGTGTATTTCACGGAATTTATTCTATGTGGATGAATAACCGTTTCGGCACTACGTGTGCATTTCACGGAATTCATCCTATGTGGATGAATAACCGTTTCGGCATTAAGTGTGCATTTCACGAAATTTATCATATGTGCATGAATAATTATTTCGGCACTAAGTGTACATTTCACGGAATTCATTCTATGTGGATGAATAATCGTTTCGACACTTAGTGTGCATTTCACGGAATTCATTCTATGTGGATGAATAACTGTTTCGGCACTATGTGTGCAAAGCACGGAATTCATAATATGTTTATGAATGACCGTATGGCACTACGGGTGCATTACAACGAAATGATAATGAATGGAAATAACAAATTGGTATTTGATCGATAAAGAATAATGACATATATATATATATATATATTGATTTCATTGTATGATTAATTTTTGCCTCACTAAGTAATACTTAGTGTGCGTATATATTTCACGTGTAGGTTGAATACAAGTTGAGTTAGGAGATCATTGGACATCCAAGCCAGAGTCGCCTCATCGGTAACCGTATGATATGCCTGTCTACTTTTGATATATTTTAGTTGGCATGTAATAGGGTTTAGTAAAAACGCCCTAAATAGTATTGGGTTTAAATTGTTGTAAAATGGTGAGGTATTTGAACATCTCATTTTGTTCGTCAAATTAAGTTAATGTATGTTATATTATAAGTGAATTAAATGTTTTATAAAACGAAACAAAATTTTATGGGTTTTCGAATGAGGAACCGTAATAATAGTGATGTGACATATGTATCTCGTATACGGGATATGGGTGTTACATACTAGATATTGTAAGCGAGATAAAAATCACGTTGAAAATGATTTCAAAGCTTGTTTTGCGCATGAAGAAAAATCTAAAATGGTTTGATAGGTATATTCGTGGGTATTTTCGTAATTTATAAGATTAAAGACGTAGCATTGTAACTTATCTTTCAATTGAGGGTAATATCGGTACATATGGTAAGTGGGGTGAAAATCATGTTCAAAATGGTTCCAAAGTTTGGTTTTGCGCATGAAGGAAACTAAAATGGCTTGATAGACATATTCAAAGAGTATTTTCGGGAAGTTAATTTTAAAATATTCGTTATTTCTAAGCCTAGAGGCATGGTATTGATACTTATGTTTCAATTGAGGCTAGTAAAGGCACATACGAAACATTCTAAACAGTGTAAAAATCGCGTTCAAAATAGTTCAAAATCAAAAGAAATTGAAAACTAATGAATATATTTTGTTAAATACAAAAGTAGTACATAATTTTGATTATCCTGTTTTTTCTCTATGTTTGACTAAATCCTCGTCACAGTAAATCCTAGTTACAGAATTAAAATAACATAGCAATAAATATAATACCAAAAATTAAAATAACATAAATTTCAATATTAGATGATGTCTTTGTAGAAACGATAAGTTTCTCGAGAAAGTCAGGTTACTCATGTTGAAAAAGGTTCATGAGACCGATAGTTTTGATGGGGAGTGAATCGGGAATAAAAACGAAATTCAGAAACCATGCTCGCGACTACAATAGCAGCAGACACCCTTCGATGACTTGTTTATTTGAATTAATGGTTGATTTGATGGAAGAAGAGGACATCACCATAAGAGGATGTTTTTAGAAAACTCCTGAGAAGTTTCCCGAATTTTATGTATGAGGGAAGCCCTAGGTTCTCGAGTTGAGGTGTACCATTTGTCATAACAGTGTCATGAGCTATAAGTAGAGGATGCCACCAGAAGATGATGTCTTTTTAGAAATGATAAGTTTCTCGAGAAGGTCAGAGTACTCGTGTTGAAGAAAGCTCATGACAAAGACAATCGATTTTATGAATTGTTTAATCGATTTTACAAATATACTGTACGAAAGATAATTTGAAGTACAAGTTGAAGATGATGCGACTAGAAGAGGATATTTTTATAAACATTATAGGTTTGATGAAACAAGAATTTTCTCGAGAAAGTCATGTTTGATAGAATAAACTCAAAGGGTGACGTCTTTATAAAAGGCATCATCTTCAGGTATAATAACTTATAGCACCAATATTGGCATAATGATTTGTTAGCTTTATCGATCAACCGGAAATTACCAAGAGGGGAGGTGAACTGGCCTTTAAAAAAATGTTGTGGATACAATTGAAAAATTAAAACTTTACACAACGATTTAGAGTGATTCGACTTCTAAATCAAACCTACATCCACTATCTTAACTATCCACACTAACGATTTTTCAAATCCACTAGATTTACAAACCTTTAAGGACAATTTAATGGGGATTTGATTAATAGGTATGGATTTTCCAAAACCTAATTAAAATTAGAAATTAATTTACATCGAAAAATCTAAAAAAAAAATTATATGAAGGAATTTTAAAGTTTAAACTTTTACGTCACGTGCGTTGTTGTATGTGTATTTGTATGTCTAATTAGTTTTTTTTGTTTAATCCTATATTCTTATTTCATTTTAATTCATATAAGTAATTATTATTTAAAATGTAATTATCAATATTTTATTTATTTAACAACATATTCTTATTTAAAATCACAAATTCCTCTATAATTCGAGCAAAAAGCTCCATTCGATTGAAATTATTTACTATTGATTTAATTCTTCACCCCTCTCCACGATTTCATGAAATAGTTTTCGAAAATCATTTTTAAAAATTATAATTAATTTAATTAAAATTATTTTCCAGAACATTCTCTAAAATACTTATTGAATATATTCTCTCTAGGATCCCTAAACTTCTTGATGAAAATCAAATAATCACCTTCTACAATTATCTTCATAAAACTCAAATCCTATGTGAACAATATAGCCTACACGCAAGCAGGAGTTTTCGTCGATAACAGGATCGAGAATAGGGATGGACCAAGGGGGCGAGTGAGGATAATAACCTCCAGAATTTTAAAATTATCTTGTATCTTAGAATTTTTTTTATATATTTTCTATTAAAATTTTATTTTTTTCTCCTGAAATTTTATAAATTAAATTCGCCCCTAAAATTTTATAATTTCAAGTTTGCCCCTTAATATAAAATCATGCATTCGTCCCTGATCAAATAGTTTCGTACCAGACACTATGACTTTTCTTCACCATTTTTTTTTTATCTAAAGTTATTATATGGTAGTATCTGTGAAGAATTTTCTTAGTCAATTGATAATAAAAACATACATAAACACAGCCAACACAGGGTTCCCATCTAGCCACCCTCACTGGTAGAGAAATAAAAGTAGCATGATTCAAATTCTCTGATTCTCCCATATATGCTTTAATGAAAGCCACAACCCCAAATACATTCGTACTGCTATTCCATCGTGATAACCACTATATTGTTTCTGATTGCGTTGCCTCCCTTCCTTGGCTTGATCATTTAGGACTTATGGCACCTGGTGCTGGTTATTGCTATGGAGTATGAAAATACTGCTTTTGAGTTATACTTGCTATAATGTGCAGATATTGGAAATATGGGGTTAAAATGTTATGGTTTGATAGTTGTGACTTGTGACCATAAGCATGAGCCGATCAGGTGAGATTCTGTTAGGATTTTCGTTGCTCTATCGATTAATCGAAAAAGGTTCTAAGACGGAGTGAATTGACCAAATAAAATTTTTGGGAGTATGGAGAGAAAGGATAGACAATTTGCACAACGATTTATAGCGGTTCAACTTATCAATTAAATCTACATCCACTACCTTAACTCCACACTAAGGATTTTCTAACAAATTTACTAATTCGTTCTTTCTTTTTTTAGGCTCAATAGTAACCTATTACAACTCCTTAATTCTCAATGGCTAAATTAGAACCAAACCGTTTTTTACAAAAGGATAAAAAAAAATGTAAACGATAAACCTCTCAAATGAAGTTGCTTACACAATTAAGCTCACAAAAGCACTTATGTACAAGAGAAAAGGAAAAATAAGAATGAAAGAACTTTTCTCTTGATATGGATTGCTTTGATAGGTGTTGTAACCTTCTTCAAGTGTCTTCAACTTCTTTTTATATGTTGGAATGTGTTTGTGATTGTTTTTAGTCGTTGGGATGTTTTGAAACCCTTGGGAACTTAATTGTTGCAAAATAAACTGCCAAGACAAGGGAGTATCGGTACTCGGGATGTGAGTATCATTACTATACTAATAAAAACTAGTCGTTTTTTTATCGTTGGGCTGAGAGTATCAATGCTGATGACATGCTATCGATACTACTATATAAAGTAGTGCGATACTCTTTTGAGTATCGGTACCGAATTTACATACTAGAATCTGAACACATTTGAAAACTTTAGGCAATATCGGTGATGTCACAAAGTATCAATACCTCTCTTATATTTTGTATCGATACTGCAAGAACGATATCAATATTGTAAGTACGGTATCGGTATTGCAAGAACAATATCGGTAATGCTTTCCCAGAAAATTAGTTTTGTGTTTAAATTCAAGTTTTATGAACTTTGAATTATTTTTAAAAACTTTAAAAAAAATTAATTAAATCCAAAACATCTTACTCTTAAATTTGTTATATCAAAATAGGTAACGAAAGTTCAAATAAGCAACTAAATCAACCCATGTTGGCGTAATGCAGTATTGTTTATTATTATGAACATGGATTCATATATAACAGAAAAAGACAAGTGTAAGAAAAATCTACAAACAAAGAAGTTCATCTAAAAGTTCACCGAAAACCAGATCTTCAAGCTCAAGTGCCAAAGATTCAGCTTGGGGTTGAAAGATAATCCAAGCATCTTTCTCCAAATTCCGACCCACAATATCATCCAACGATTGATCATGTTCCGGTTGGAAGGCCAGGTTCCTGCTAACTTTTCTCCACACCTCTCGGAGAACAATTTTTCCCGGAAACATTAAACTAAACGGCTTTGGGAAATAAATAGATGTTTTTTCACTGATCTCAACGAGAGCTTCATTAACTAGATTGAAAAACAGCCCGTGATCATCACCGCAGTTGGTTACGAGTTCATCTACGGAGGAGCATTCAAGTCCTGGGTGCAAAAATGTCTCCAATTCCTTGAACAATGAAGGGTTCAATGGTTGATCTGGTGAGTACCATGAATGGAGGCATTTGCTTTGTAGGAAGCCTGATAGCTCAAGAATATCTCTGACATAATTGTAACTGGGATCAGCCTCTCCTATCAAAAAAAAAAAAACTGGGATCAGTCTCTATATCTGATTCAAACAACATGGTGGCCTTTTCTTTTGAGAATGTAAACGTCTCTGCTTCACATTCAGGGAGGTTTTGATGATTCAATGCTGGACATGGTAAACTTTTTAGATAAAACAACTTTGATACACCAGAACAAGTAATATATTCATATTGAAAAAGTAGAAAATGTTACCTTCTGAAGTTGGTCGACTGAGCTCTCTGCTTGGATTGTCTCCAAAAGCACTCTCTTGTTCTTGGCGAAAGCTGATTTTCTCCATTAAGTCACTTGGATCATTGTTGTTTCCTTCTCTCATATTCTCCTGCAATTCCGCTTCTATAACAGCTTCTACTAATTCAAACTCACCTATACCTTCATGAACAGTGATTGTTTTTGGTTCATTATGTTCATCCTTTTCCTTGTTTGCATCATAATTTAGGATACCCCTAATCGGAACCCCGAAAGAAAGAGCATCACGAGACACTGCGTATAGGAGGGAGCGGAAGGAAATATCAGATAGAGATGAAATGCTCCTGAAAATTTCCGGACCATGAAGCTCCCTTGATGGAACTTGACCTTCTTTGCTTAATCTCAAGCTCTTAGAGTGATGCAAATAAGCCTCTTTGCTTACACCACGCTGAAACAATTTCTTATATCGATCTAGTGAATCGTTTATCAATTTTTCTCTTCTCATCCTATTGAGTCCACCATTGCAGATTTCATTATCAGTGCCATCTTCGTTTCGACATTTGTTATTGGCATCTTTTATGGAAACTTGTTTCAGGGTCTGCTTAATTCTCTGCTTAAAATATTTGAGTCGATTCATAACGAAGTGATTCCACCTTCGAGAATCAGATCCCTGGGACGATTGAGTACCAGCAACTGATTTTTCTCCTTGTCTCAATGACCAAACTTCTATCTGCTTATGCTCAAGGTCAAGGGTACTAAATTGAAGATACGGCAAACCGCATACCGGAAATGACCTGGATCTCATTAGTTTTACTGCCTTGGAAGTTTGTTTTCTGGGAAATGATGTGAAATACCTATGAACAGATCTTTGCTGAGCTTCTTACCATGCTGGCTGGAGTTCGTTCTGTTATGAATATCCTGCCTTTTACTCCTCAGAGTGTCAGCCCGAGACGAAGTTGAGCTCGAATAGGAGATGTGATCTCTCTTGTTAATGAGAATAACTGGATTAATCCAACCAAAACCGAAACCTGAATACTCAAAATGATGTGGCTGTGGTGTTGCAGAAAAGCCCGGAATCCATTGCTTATTTGAGGCCTTTAGGGAGGCTTTATTTGAGCTTCTGTTGGTGGTTGAGCCTGTTTTTCTTGTACTCTGTGGAACCAGTAAGATTTGGTATAACTACATTGATATTCTGTTTCATCCAAAAGGAAAACAATTTCATTGCACGATGGAACAACTAGAGCTGTTATGTCAACTTACTTGCAAGAGATCAGCCTCAGCATGTAATAATCCTTGGGTTTCAATGACACGTTCCATGGAAATAGTTCGTGGATTTACACAGCCTGCAATCAATGCTTATAAGTGTGTGTTTGTGTGTGTATATATATATATAAAGGATGAGACAAATCATAAAAACATTGATGCATAGTATTGAAGGATGAGACAAGCTGAGTTTTTACTTACATCTGCCATGTCTTCCTCTGTTGTACTTTCTGTGTGGGAATATCTTTTTGACATTATACCATTGATGGTAGTCAAATATGGCCCCCATGCAACCTGTATCATCATGATCATAACTCTCGAATACATCATCATCATCTTGTTCATGAAATTCCTTTCCCATATTGAAACACAAGCAAAACCTGATTTAACAAAATAATAATTCAATGGACAAGCGTTCATTAAAAAGGCTGAATTCAATTAACTATAAAACATACATAAACACAGCAAGTAAAATAAGCGCATTAAAGCTGACCTGAAATACAGAAGGGATGGAGATTTTGTTTCTGAATGAGACCCTGAGAGAGCTCAAAGCTTTAAAAATCTATGAACATATGAAACAAAGAAGAATTCAAAGAAGGCGATGACGGGTACTTAGCCTAAAAACCAGAAGAAAAAAAGCGTGAAGGCTCACAATTTACCCGCCAAGACTTGTCCACAGTTTTGGTTTTAGGTAAAGATCAGTCCAAATTTAAGCTAATATGGCCAAAAGGGTCAAGTCTATGAAGTAAGCAAGGCCATAGAAATTAACATTAGCAACCATTATAATATTATAATAAGTTAATAACAGCAAACACCCACTTCGTGCATATTACCAACTCTTTTTACCCTCAAATATTGTTTATTTTTATGTAGCAAAACATACATCCATGCATGATGTGTTGAGTACGAAGATAGAGACATGTATGCATGGTTTTAGTGGTTGAGAATTCAACTGAAGATTAAAATAGTCTTAATAAGGGACAAGAGTGAGTAGTGAGTCATATGTGATTGAAAGATATTGAATGTAATATCTGCTTTTTTAAAGATACGGTTAATGAGATAAAAATGGAAATCTAATCCACAGCCCACAGGATTCTTAGTAAATTTTTGTGTTGGAGTTTTCTTTCAACTTAGTTGTACTCAAGTTAGAATTGGAGACAACCGCATATGTGACACACCTCATTTGGGTTAATTAGGTGAGGAAAATGATTATATTTCATAACTCGTTTTCTGATGGTTCCAAAGAGAATTTGTTCTCTTGGATAGATAATTTTAACGTTTTATAATGTCAATGTAGTATATGTCGTTAATGGTTTAGATTAGGGTTACTTTTTTTATTTAGACTAAATAAGTATTTTATGTTTATTTTCTTTTCATATGTTTCTTGAGGGTAAACTACTTCTGAAGATACTAATTTTTTACCCATATTGATTTATTATTATTATTATTATTATTATTATTATAATTATTATTATTATTATTATTATTATCATTATTATTATTATTATTATTATTAAATATATTAAATACATATATAAATAATAATAAAAAATATACAAGCCCAATCAACCGGCCCAATTACAAATGGCCCATCACAAACCCTAACAGATTAGGGTTTCCATCTTCCCAGCTGCCTCAGCTTGCTACCGTTGGATCTGGCAAGATCCAACGGTCCAGATGGTTCCAGCAGCAAACCCTAGGGTATGATACCCTAGGGCCACGCGGCCGCCGCAGCTGCTCTCGCCGTCTCCACCGCTGCCACGTCCCAACCGAAGGCACCAGAAGGTCGGCCGTAGCCGCACACGTATTTCCCAAATGGTGAGTAACCACTGGAAGTCCGGTGACTCACCGAACTCTATCCTTCAGACCGGTCCGAGATGAGCACCGGTGATGGCTATAAAGCCATCACCCAACCTGCAAAGAAAATACACAGGGACAGAGACAAAGAGAGACAGAAAATACACGGAGACAGAGAGACAAAAACGGAGAGAAAAACAGAGAAACAAGATACTAAAAAAAACTACTACCAACGATCTCAGCAGCAAAGAAACAGAAAAGAAAGAAAAGAAAAAGAAAGAAGAGAAACTTACCGAGGAAGCCCCGACCACCGGACCTCACCAAAACCTTCGAAAAACCGAAGGTATATTTCTTAGATTTGCTCCGATCGAGAGCCGTTTAAAGGAAAAAGTCATCGGGACCGTCATTAGGACGGTCCGATCTATGTTTTAGTATAATAAAAAAATTTCGGCCACCAAAGGCGGTGGCCGGCGGCGGTGGCTGGCGGCGGACGAACACCGGCAGACGGAGGCCGGCCGTCTGGCCTCTCTCTATTTTAGAGAGAAGCGAGAGAAAAAAAAATTTTATCAGAGAAGAGAGAGAGAGGAGAAGGACAAATGAAGGCTGGCCCTTCGGGCCAGCCGTTTTGGACCTTAAATAGGCCTTCCCGAACGACGTCGTTTCGGGAAGGACTATGCGTGTAATTAAATAATAGTTAAACCCCGTCCGAAGCCATTCCAACTTGTAAACTTTACATTCTAGTCACTAAATCAAATTTATAATACTTTTAATTCAGATCCTTAATTTTAATTTCATTTATTTTAGTCCTTTATATTAAAATAATATATTTAGGATAAATAACAGAATTAATCCCTTAATTTTAATAAATAATATTTTAATCCCTAGTTTATATTTTTAATTTATTTTATTCTAATATCCGAATTTTAGATAATTTTATTTTAGTCACTAAATAAATAAAATAAAGAAATAGCATGTTTAATCCCTATAATTTTGATTAATTATGAATTAGGTTTTTAATTTTACTTTTACTATAATTTAGTCATTTATTTTAAATGTTTTCATTTATTTTACTGCTTTTAAATATATCGTTCTATTTGTATTTTTATTATTTTAATTTTACTTGTTTATATTTTTAAATATTTTTATGTATTCATAAATATATATAATAAATAAAAATTAATTTAAAATAAATATTTTTTTTAATATCAAGAAGAAGGACAGTCTTAATACAACTGGATGTCATATTCTGGTATTTTAAAATTTAATAATTAATTTTTTAAAATATTATTTAATTTAAATTAACATTTATCAATATCAAAGAAAAGAGCTGTCTTAAGGCACCTAGAAGCCCTTTTCAGATATTTTTAAATATTTTTTTTATAATTTTGAAATAATAGGATTATAAATTAAATATATTTTGAAATTTTTAATATTTTTAATAATAGAGACAATTTATAATTAAAAAGTACCAATTTTGGACGTTGTAGGGGTGCTAATCCTTCCCTAAACGTAATCGACCACGAATCCCTTTTTATTATTAAAAAGAACGAATTTTTGGTTATAAACGCAGACCAGTTCATTTTTTAATTGGTGTTTTCTTAAAACTCTTTTAAAAAATAATTTTTAGGTATTCGACCTACCTGACCCAAAAGGACGATGGCGACTCCCAAATTATTTTCAAAACCATTTATTCACATAAATTTTCCCGCCAAATTTAAAATTTTCGTGCCCGGACGAAAACCGGTTACGACAGCTTGGCGACTCCGCTGGGGACTGGTTAAACTTTTAAAAATCAATTATAAATTGTCTCTATTAATTATAAATTAAAATTTCATATATTTAATTTATAATTTTTTTATATATATACATATTATTTTTATAGTATTTATATATATTATTAATATTTCATTTTATTTGTAAGTATTTTATTTCATTATTTATTTTTCTGTCAGAGGTATGAACATTTCTCCTCACACACAACACTTGCATTGCATCACATAAAGCTCTATAATTGAGTTGTCCCTTTTAAGTGGGAGTGAAAGCGACGTCTTCGTGAGAATTTATTCTCCGTGTCAGACCTAGCAAGTAACTTTCGGGGTTCATATGCTCTATGTCTTCGTGAGAATTTATTCTCCGTGTCAGGCATAGAGAAATGTATCCCCTCGAATTGAACTCGATCCACTTTAGTCTGTAATGGACTAGGGTTGAGGGTTAGCAACCCAAGGGGGCACTAACAAGGACAATTCGGGTACCTTTATTCTTAGATCTGAAACCCTGCATATAATAAACCCTAGAAACTCTTCCGATCCGAAGTCATGCCAAAATTTTGTCCAAAATAGGTGTACACACAGGAGAAATGAATTCTAACTTTCTTATTTATTTATTTTCTTTACTGATTAAATTACATGTATATTTAAATTATTTAAATTTAGAAAAAACATGTTTAAATAAAATATTTAGGTAAATGTTATTATTAAATTTTTTATGTAAACTAATTCATTTCTTTTTGTGTTTTTTTTTATTTTTTCTGTTTGCATAGCATCATACAGGATAAAAGGAATTGATCCTAGTGTTAATTGTCTCATTGGAAAGCCTTCATCTATGGATAAAAAGTGTTCAAATCAAGTAATTCTAAACTCAGAAGTAAGACAGTGGGCTGAGGACTTACAAAGACAAGAAGGAGACAGTCTGCAGGATGATTATGTATCTGACTTAACCAGTTATGCTCCAGTTTCGCTAAAAAGAAATGATATGCAAGATTTGCGAAGTATTTGGGAAAGTTGGGATTCAAATAAAAAATTGCAGTTTTATCAGACTTACGGAGACATCCCATATTTGCTCTATGTCGAAGTTGATGATGAATTACTCAGAGCCCTAATTCAATTCTGGAATCCAGGGTACAATTGCTTCACTCTCAATAAAGAGGACTTGGTCCCTACTATTGAAGAGTACACAACTTTGCTACATATCGAAGGGGCTTTGGAAAATCGAATCTATTCCAAGTCAATTAAAACTCAACCCTTTCGAGTTAAATTAGCAAAGATTGCCGGGGTACGAGAAGAATGGGTGGCATCCCGTACAAAACAAAAAGGCGAAAGTGAAGGCATTGCTTGGACCAACATTAAAGAACTTATTCAGAGTCATCCAGATATTAAAGTACAATTCGATTTATTTGCTCTGGGTATGTATGGTATGGTCATCTTCCCAAAAGTGTTGGATATGTTGAAGCTGCAGTGGTAGATTTGTTTGAACAGCTACCGAAAAAGATTAATCCTGTTTCTGCAATCCTAGCAGAGACCTTCAGATCGTTAAATGCTTGTAGAAGGCTAGGAGGTGGACGATTCTCAGGGTGTACCCAGTTGTTATATGTTTGGATCCGTAGTCATTTCTGGAGGACAGAAAAGGTTTCATACCGACGTTTTAATACGGATTACTCACCATTAAAAGAATTTCTAGAGCAGGAATGGCCGAAAGAAATTAAGAAAGATATGTGGATTAATGCCTTTCGAAATCTGCAAAGCAATGACGTTGTTTGGCGAGCCCTGTGGTAAATACAAAGGGAATTCTTTTACAAATGTGGAGATTACAACTGGATAATGCTACTCGGATTATGGGGAGGAATTGGATATGCACCACTTCTGGTCATAAGACAGTATGAAGGTCGTCAATTTGTACCTGTCACTGCTGGATTACAGTCATCTGAGTTTGCATTCCATAGCAAAAATTATAAAAGAAATATCATGGAAGCCGTTACAGCTTGGAAAACAACTTTTTGTATCCGAGCTAAAGCAGCAAAAGAAATGCTAACTCCTGATTATGAAGAATGGAGATCTGTCAGGAAAAATGAAAATATTCCTCTACCAGATCAAAAAGAGGATATCTCTATGGAAGATCGCATTAAGGTGGTTCCATCAGAGATTGAAATCCTGAGAGCTGAGTTTGAAGCAGAAAGAGAAGGCTGGTCGAAAGAATTAGAGCAAATGAGACAAGATAAAGCTATGTTGGGGGTTGACATTGACTTTCATTCATCACAATGTGCAATGTTGAGAAAAGATAAAGAAAAAGTTGATGATGAATTCAGAGCATTACATAAAAATTACCAGGAGTTATATAAATCCCGGAAAGCATCAGGATCAAGCCAAGCAACAATACAGATGACCAGAGAATTGAACATCGAGAAAAGACGAGTTGAAGATCTGAAAGGAAAGAATAGCCGTCTACTCAAAAGCCTTGAGAAAGGAAAGCAAAAAATGGAAGATTTTGAGGTTGACAAAAGAGAGCGAATTATAAAAAGCAAGGCTGAACACCGCGAGATCATGAATGAAATGCAAAGAGAAAGGGATCGAGCCAAAGATTTAGAAGAAATGAAGAATGACATCTTTGATAAATTTGAAGGTGAGAAAAATATCATGTTCAAGGGATTTGAATCTGAAATGAACCAACTGATTGCTGAACTAGAAGTCAGAGGCCAAAAGATGGAAGAATACAATATCGAAAAAGAAAAATGGGAGTTAGAAAGAAAAAATTTCAACACCAGACTTGAGGTAGAGCAGGAAGTGGCTAGCAATTGGATGCAAAGATGCAGAAACAAGGATGTTCAAATCCAGAAGCTTAATCAAAGAACTCAAGAAGCACGAACAAAACTTGAAGAAGATCTGGATCAATCTAGAAACAAAAATGCAGAGTTTAATGCTTATATTTTGCAACTTGAAGAATCATTGTTTCAAGAAAAGGTTCATCTAGGACCTAATGATCTCAAAGAAAGTAATGAGGAAAGTGCTTCACTGCGAAGACGCATTAGAGATCTTGAAAAATTCTGCACAATTGTCAAGTCAGAATCACTGAGTTAGAGCAAACTCTTGAAGGAACGAATGAACAATGGCAAAAGTCAACTGATTTCTATGTTGAAAGAAGTGAAGAAAGAAGTAATATGGTGTTCGAGGCCATGGTACAAATGAGCGAAGTTGCTAGATATGTTGGGGAACTAGCTGTTGAAGCCAAAATAATTGAGCATCACGTTGATCCAGTTTCTAAGTGCGGAAAGAAGGTGTCATGGTTAATGAAAGAAATTATAGAGCTCAATAGGAAAGCTATGCCTTATCTGTAGTTATGAACTATTATAAAGAAACTTTTGTATGCCGATGAAAGTTGTTCTATGACAGTTAACTTTTTGGGATCAATACCTTTTTGCATACATGCATTTTGCATACATTCATTATTCATTTCATGATTTTCTTTATGTATAATTTTTATTATCAAGATAAAATTCATTAATTAAAATTTGGAAAAAATAATATCAAAAGATTTTTCAATCGCAGTTATTCTGGCCAAAAGAGAAATACAACATCACTACGGTACTAGACAAGCTACTAAGAGAATTATGGAGGATAAAATACAACGTATTGAGGAACAGCATAATAAAGAACAAGCAGAAATGAGGATGAAGCTGGAAAAAATTGAAGACAATATCGCAAATTCACAAGACAGCATGATGTAGAAAATAGAGGACATGTTTAAAAGACAGGCTATCATTGGAAATATGCCTGAAAATACTGTATCTTTCGACCAAGAACCTATGTATCCTCTAGGTTTTCCACCAGAACCAATTTATCATTCTGGTACTACACCTATACAAATCAATGCTCGTACATCAGCATTTCAAGAAGCCAAACCACAGGAAAATCAATAAGTGGATCCTGCATCTTCAAGTAAAAATCCGCTTATATCAGATGTGAAAATAGGGGATTTTAATACTGAGCATTTAATCCCAGATTTGAATGAGCTAAATGAGAAACAAAAAGTAAATGAAGAATTGACCAGACAGATCAAGAGCTTAGAAGAACGAATGAAATCCGTGGAAATAACTGAATCATTTTATGGGTTTGACGCTAGTGAGTTGAGTTTGGTTCCAGACCTAATCCTTCCCATCAAGTTCAAGGCTCCCGAATTTGATAAATATGATGGTACTACATGCCCTTCATCCCACATTACTATGTTTTGTCGCAGAATGGCAGGATATGTGAAAGACGAGAAATTATTAATTCACTGCTTTCAGGATAGTTTGACAGGACCGGCTTTAAAATGGTATACTCAATTGACCAAAGCCAACATTAGATCTTGGAAAGATCTGGCTAAAGCATTTTTAGAGCAGTACCGCCACGTAACAGACATGGTTCCTGATAGATGGACTCTCCAAAACTTGGAGAAAAAAAATAATGAAACATTCAGACAGTATGCCCAGAGATGGCGTGACACGGCAGCCCAAGTTCAACCACCTTTGTCAGAAAAAAAGGCTACAATAATATTTGTTCATACCTTGAAGGCTCCTTATTTAAATCATTTAATGGGGAATGCAACCAGAAATTTTGCAGATTTAGTCATTTCTGGAGAACTCATTGAAAATGTCTTGAAAAGTGGCAAAATTGAATCAAACGAGGGGTCTAGTTCCAAAAGACCTATGTACCGGAAAAAAGAGAATGAAGTCAACAATGCAAATTCTTACAACAAGGATTCATCGAAAAGTATTACAATAACCCAGCCAAGGGTTAAGAAAGAGGAAACAAACACTAATCGAGCAGATTCCAGAGGATCTCAAAAGGAAAATGAAAGGTTGTCTTTTACACCTTTACCAGTACCATATGCTGAGATCTATGATTCACTGTTAAAAGCAGATGTCATACGACCCTATCCTTTGGTTCCCATGCAACCACCATTCCCTCCTTGGTATGATACAAAGGCACACTGTGTTTACCATGAAGGAATCACGGGTCATTCTATTGAAAACTGTTTGGCATTCAAAAGGGTGGTTCAAAATTTGATCAACACTGGGAAATTGGAATTCAATACACCATCTGCATCAAATCATCCATTGCCAAATCATGGAGACAAAAACGTGAATGCAATTCAGGAAGAGAACAGAAAGAAAGCAAAAACTGACATTTCTGAAATTAAATCTCCGTTTGTTTGGATATTCCAACAACTCTCTTTAGCCGGTATAATTCCACAACAATTCAGGCCAAAGCAGAATGAAGGCAAGAATTATTGTGAATATCATCAGGAGAAAGGGCATAAAATTCAACTATGTCCTGAGTTTAGAGATTTGGTGCAAAAATTGATGAACAACAGAGAAATAGAATTCTTTGAAGAAGAACCAGGGAAAAAAGAAGATGATGTTTGCTCATCAGAGGATTCTAAACCTAGTCAAAGAATAAATGATCATGTGATCATTAATGTGAAATCATCTACGGCGATTCCTGCACCAATAAAGCCGAAAGTAGTTATCACCACTCCTCTACCATTTCCATACAAAGATACCCGTAGGGTACCTTGGAATTATACTACCAATGTTTCAATGGTAGGAGGATCTGTTTCTCTAGAAAAAACAGAAGAGAAAATACAGAGTTTGGGTACAACATCGACGTCTGAAGCAATAAGCGAAGTCGGTTTCTTTACAAGAAATGGGAGATGTTACTCTCCCGAAACATCTAATGCTTCAGAACAAGTGAAAGCAAAAGGAAAAACCATGGCAATACCTCAGAAGGTATTTGATGATGAATCCCCTCCAGCATTCAATGAGCATGTGACAGAAAAACAAGATCAAGAATTTTTGAAATTCATGAAACATAGTGAATATAGTGTGGTTGAACAACTACACAAACAACAAGCGAGAATTTCTATTCTTGATCTATTGATGAATTCAGAAGCACATAGAAATGCTTTGATGAAAATTCTCAATCAAACATTTATCCCTGAAGATATATCCCTCAATAAACTTGATAGAATTATGGGATATATAGCCGCTGACAATTACATAACGTTCACGGATGATGAAATACCAGAAGGCGGAATGGGGTCAGTAAAAGCTTTGAACATCACGACACATTGTCATGGTCATGTGTTGCCAGGAGTATTGATTGACAATGGGTCCGCTCTCAACTTGATGCCTCTAGTCACACTTCAAAGAATGCCTCTGGATCAATCACACATGAAGAGTTATCAGAATGTAGTGCGAGCATTTGATGGTACTCAAAAAGAGGTGCTTGGGAAAATGGAAATACCGTTGTTAATTGGACCAGTCGTGTACAGTATTGACTTTGTGGTGATGGACATCCACCCTACATATAATTGTCTATTAGGGAGGCCATGGATTCATTCAGCAGGAGTCGTTCCTTCTTCATTACATCAGAAATTGAAATTTGTTGTTGATGGACAACTAATATGCGTCGGTGCTGAAGAAGAAATCATTGCGTCGGTAACAAGTGATGTTCCATATATCGACACCAATGATGATGCTCTTGAATGCTCTTTCCAAGCTCTTGAATTTGTAAATGCAACCTTTATTGCAGAAGGAAGCAAAATTCCATATCCCAAATTGTCTGATTGCACCAAGATGACGGTACAACAAACTTTAGGCATCGGCGCTAAGGCTGGGAAAGGGTTAGGAAAGAATCTTCAAGGGATTTCAGTTCCTATTAGTATAAAGATGAAGAAAGATCGTTTTGGGCTTGGGTTTAAGCCTAATTTTCAGCAAAAGAACAAAGAGATGAAAAGAAGATGTGAAGACAGAAAGGCAAGGTTGAAAGGGAAAGAAATCATTTGGGAACACATGTTTTTCCACAGTTGAAGACCACATTCAGATCAGGGGGAACAATTAATGTAGAACAGCAGCTTGTTGAAGCCTTTAAAGAAGAAAAGTTGACGAAAGATCAATACATAGTTGAAGAAGCTATGAATAGATTATTTATCAACATGATCATGAATGACAACAAAACTGGCAAATACTTGGATAGGATTCGCCCATGTTTTCCTGGAGAAACACTCAACAATTGGACCACTGAAGATCTTCCTATAGTTTTTAATATTAACGCAGAGTAATATTCAGAACTAATCTTTATGTTTAGCTCAAAAATATGAAAACTTTTTGTTATCTTGTAAAAGAAATTATGTTAAATATAAGAAATTTTCTTTAAAATGTTCAGATGGCAATCATTCTTTACATTTTCTTACATTTATACATTGATTTATTTCATAAATTTACTATATTCTTTCGGAAATATGTCCGACTTAAATTTGCAGGTGTCACCGTGTTAATAGCAATTTTATTCCTAATTTAATCAAGAGATAAATTTAGAGCAACCTATATGTCTGGAAGAAATCAATGGATGTGAGGATGAACTGGAATGTGATGTTCCTACTGAACTATTAAGATTGGTAGAAAAAGAAGACAAACAAATTCTACCCCACAAAGAAGAGATTGAGACTGTGAATTTGGGAACAGATGAAGAAATGAAAGAGGTGAAAATTGGTACTACTCTGACAATCCAGATAAAACAAGAATTGATAAATCTCCTTCAAGAGTTCAAAGATATCTTTGCCTGGTCTTATCAAGATATGCCTGGTTTAAGCACAGATATAGTGATACACAAGCTTCCAATCAATCCAGAATATAAACCGGTCCAACAAAAGCTCAGACGAATGAGACCAGAAATGTTGTTGCAGATCAAAGAGGAAGTGATGAAACAGATCAATGCAGGTTTCCTCCAGGCATCTAAATACCCCGAATGGGTAGCCAACATTGTTCCCGTACCAAAGAAAAATGGAAAAGTTCGAATGTGTGTGGATTACAGAGATCTCAACAGAGCTAGTCCGAAAGATAGTTTTCCATTACCCCACATAGACACATTGGTGGACAATACTGCAGGACATGCATGGTTTTCATTTATGGATGGCTTTTCAGGATATAATCAGATAAAAATGAATCTTGAAGACATGGAAAAAATAACATTTGTAACCATGTGGGGCACATTCTGTTATAAAGTGATGCCATTTGGATTGAAAAATGCAGGGGCAACGTATCAAAGAGCCATGGTAACTTTGTTTCATGACATGATGCACAGAGAGATTGAAGTATACGTGGATGACATGATTGCCAAATCCCGAACTGAAGAAGAACATATTCAAAATCTGAGAAAGCTTTTCCAGAGATTGAGGAAGTATCAATTAAAGCTCAACCCTGCTAAATGCACTTTTGGGGTAACTTCCGGAAAACTTTTGGGATTTGTGGTCAGCAAAAAAGGAATCGAGATTGATCCAGATAAAGTAAAAGCAATTCAAGATCTTCCACCACCCAATACAAAAAAAGAAGTTCGAGGCTTTTGGGAAGATTAAATTATATATCTCGGTTCATTTCTCAATTAACTGACAAATGTGATCCAGTGTTCAAATTACTTCGAAAGAACAATCCTGAAGTCTGGAATGAAGAATGTCAAGAAACTTTGGATATTATTAAGAAATATTTATCCAATGCCCCCATTTTAGTATCACCAATGCCTGATAGACCATTAATTCTCTACTTGACGGTCTTCAAAAATTCGATGGGATGTGTACTAGGACAGCATGATGAATCTGGAAGAAAAGAAAAAGCTATTTATTATCTGAGTAAGAAATTTACCGATTGTGAAATTCGATATCCACCAATACAAAAATTATGTTGTGCTTTGGTGTGGACTACTCGAAGACTCAGACAATATATGTTATACCATACTACTTGGTTGATATCAAAACTTGATCCTTTGAAATTCTTAATGGAATCACCAGCTTTGACAGGCAGAATGGCTAGATGGCAGATGTTATTATCTGAGTTTGATATTGTATATGTCAACCAAAAAGCAATAAAAGGAAGTGTAATAGCTGATTTTCTGGCCAGTCGTGTATCAAATGATTATCAGCCTTTGAACTTCAATTTTCCCGATGAAGATTTGTTGTGCATATCCATGAATGAAGAAGTCAAACAAATGATGCATTGCAACTTGGAAGCTTTACTTTGACGGAGCATCCAATGCTTTGGGACGAGGAATCGGGGCAGTGTTAATTTCTCCCGAAAATGTTTATTATCCCTTTACAAGTAGACTGGAGTTCTTTTGCACCAATAATATGGCGGAATACGAAGCTTGTGCCATGGGATTGAAAGCAGCTATAGAAAGAAAAATCAAATGTCTCAAAATATATGGAGATTCATCTTTAGTGGTGTATCAATTACGAGGAGAATGGGAAACAAAAGACCCCAAATTATTGGAATACCAAAATTTTACCCTCGAATTAGTGAAAGAATTTGAGAGAGTTACCTTCAATTATCTCCCTCGAGAAGAAAATCAAATGGCAGATGCTTTGGCTACATTAGCTGCTATGTTTCAAGCAACTAAGAAAGTTGATATGATGCCAATCAAAATGCAAGTATATGAAATTCCTGCACATTGTTATAGTGTGGAAGAAGAGGTAGATGGTAAACCATGGTATCATGATATTCTGCAATATATCAAAAATCAAAGTTATCCACCAAATGCATCGGAAATTGATAAAAGAACCTTGAGAAGAATGGCTGCTGGATATTTTCTTGATGGAGAGATTATGTATAGAAGAAGCAATGATCAAATGCTATTGAGATGTTTAAATACCAGCGAAGCTCGAAGCATCATTGAAGAAGTACACAGTGGAATATGTGGAACACATGCAAATGGTCTTTCCATGGCCAGAAAAATAATGAGATATGGATACTATTGGGCTACCATGTACACAGATTGCATTGATTATGCAAGGAAATGTCATAAATTCCAGATATATGTAGACAAGATTCATGTACCCCCATCTCCTTTACATGTAATGACAGCACCCTGACCATTTTCTATGTGGGGAATAGATGTTATTGGTGCAATCACACCAAAAGCATCGAATGGACATTGTTTCATCCTTGTGGCAATTGATTATTTTACCAGATGGGTTGAAGCTACTTCATATACCAATATTAAGAGGTCCATAGTCTGCAAATTCATAAAGAAAGAGATAGTTTGCCGGTATGGCCTACCAGAAAGGATCATTACAGATAATGCTCTGAACCTGAACAACAAAATGATGACCGAGCTTTGTGCACAGTTTAAGATCAAACATGCAAACTCAGTGGCATATCGTCCAAAAATGAATGGGGCAGTTGAAGCAGCAAATAAGAACATCAAGAGAATCATTGCAAAGACCACTGAAACTTACAAAGATTGGCACGAAAAGTTACATTTTGCTCTATATGCATACCGAACTACTGTTCGAACATCTACTGGGGCAACGCCTTTTTCTTTAGTATATGGGATGGAAGCAGTCTTACCAATTGAAGTTGAGATTCCATCGCTTAGAATATTGAGAGAAATAAAATTGGATGAATCTGAATGGATCCAAGCAAGATTTGATCAATTGAACCTTGTTGAGGAGAAAAGATTGAAAGCTATTTGCCATGGACAGATGTATCAAAAACGGATGATGAAGTCTCATGACAAAAAAGTACATCCAAGAGAGTTCCAAGAGGGTGATCTAGTATTAAAAAAGATCTTGCCATACATAAAGATTTCCGTGGAAATGGATGCCTAATTGGGAAGGGCCATACGTTGTAAAAAAGGCCTTTTCCGGAGGAGCATTGATCTTGGCAGAAATGGATGGAAAAATTCTGAGAAATCCAATAAATTCGGATTCTGTCAAGAAATATTATGCTTGAAGGGA